TCCTGTGCCTGCTGATTCCCAGTGTCTTTATTCTTGTGAACTCTCCTCATGACATAGCTTTGATTTACTCTTCAAAAGTGCCTGAAAAGCGAATAATGCAAATATTTGCTCCCAAGTCTGATTTTACTGATGTGGTTAAGTCAAGCAATTTGGTTGTACTTACAAGACCTTGAATGGGGCTACTCACTTGAGCAGAGTTACTCCTAAGCACAAATCTTAGGATGAGATTATGAGACACAATACACTATAGATTTGCCTTATGGTGTTAGGGACAGTTAGAAAAAAATCTGCCTTACCTGATGTTTTCTCTGTGAACACCACCTTGGACTCTGCTGTGAAATTTTGTCCAGTAAGGATCATCTGTTGTCCTCCATAAACAAGGCAACTATCAATGTCTTGTCTTTCAACCATTGGAAGTTCATGAGCAGACCTTTGGGCTGTGGACAAATTGCAGACATGAATGAAACCAACTCTGTTTTACCAGGACTTTCCAAATCTTCCCAGAACTATCCATAGATAGATCTTGTCATCGTTACCATCTGTTGACTGCCAAAGCAGCTTCTCCAGGGTGCTAAATTTAGGTTTGAGAGGGAAAAATAAACTTACTCAAGGCATTTTATTTGGAAACATTCAGGAGCTGGCTGCAGTGTTTCAGCTGTGCTGGCCTTACTCCTTGTCCTTGAGAAAGGACAGCTTGGATGAATGAGCTGGAACTTGCCCATCTCTGTTTCCAAATAAATGGCCAAATTTTCAAGTGCAGGCATACTACTGCCCTGGAGCCCAAAAATTCCACCTACAGAGGGGATTCCACTGAATAACACTGAATTCTTTCAGACTAAAAAATAAAAATAAACCTTTTCTACAAGAGCCCACTGCCTCCTACAGAACAGAGACTACACTGGGCCTGGAACAGTCCAGTTGCCAAAAAAAGTACCATCTCCCTGTGCAGGCACCAAGCCTTGTGCATGCAACAAGAGGGGCCATCATGAAGCTGAGCAGGAGGGGTCACATCAGGACTCTGCTGCAGCCTGGCTTTTTTTCAAGCAAGTTTTGAAGAGGCCTGAATGTCTGAGGAGCAGAACCCTGTGTTGCAGACTGAATCCAATTATAAAGGCAAGGAAAGAGAACTAGGGTGGAATTAAGATAGGCATGTGCATGATCAAGGATTTCTAAGGTCTTTACTGTTCTTGGCCATGAACTTGGAGTGTGACTTTGGCAAGTTATACTCTCTTCCTCTAGCCAGAAAACCAGGCTACCACCGTCTCTCCACCTGCTTTCCTCTCATCCCATTGAAACACACATTTGCACAGCCAGAAAAGCTTTGGAGAATCCTGGTCACCATCCCTGCAAGCCCATTTGAAGTGTTTGGTAACAAGCAGAAGGAGCTGAAGAAAGTGAAGATGTGAGTTGTTCCCTACAATGCAAACAGCTGGAAAATATCATGAGCTTCCCTGTGACCAGACCAGGTGGGCAGCAGTTTGGGTCTGGTGAACTGCGAGTTCATGACCTGCACTTAAACTCCTCCAGATTCATCCACCCCAACTGGAAAGGCCTCTAGAGGATGCCGCTCATTTCTTTAACAGCTGTCTTGGCTGGATTTTAACTTTCTCTGACAAAGAGGCTGCTCCCAAGAGACCCTGAGCACTTGTGTCTTCACTGAACACCATTGGCTGCTGAGCCAAAAATAAGGAAATCAGTTACCCTATATGTTCAGCACTGACCCTGCACTCACACACAGGCAGGGCTGTGTTCAAGACTGCTTTCTGTGACCTGCTCCCGGCACCTTTTTATTGCTGTGCAACCTTCAGAAAGCCAAAAACCCAACAGATCTTGGCCATGGTAAGAGCTCTACAGATCCTTCACTATACAAAGAAAATGCTATTTGGTGGGAAAACACAAGCATTAAGCCTTTCAAATAGGTGTCTAGAGAAGAGGGGAGAAACTTTCTAGCAAGGACAAGCTCAGCTGAACCCTATCTGTCAGTCATGACACAGAGATTTTCCTCCTTTTAAAAATACAGATAATTCAAATTTTTTATTAGTTCATGACTGGATTTATCACAGACAGATTTGTAACCATAAAAAAGTTTAAGAGTAAATAGCTATCACCTAAAACATATGTTTGATAGTAGAGAGAGAAAATGTATTCAAGTCTTTCCTAGACACTTTATTTCTGTTATTTATGCTTATTCAAACCCCAAATTTTACTTCCAAAGCATTCCAAATCATCAGAATTCAAGAGTAACCTATGTCTCATTCAGACTTCAGTGTGTTAAGAGAGAGCTTTGTACCTGACATCTCACAAATCAGTGGTTCTCAAGGCTTTTTCAGGAGGAGGAAGGATAAATTTTAGCCTGAAAATAACCATCTGACTCATCCTAATTACATTTGGATCTCAGCAAGTTGGAAATCGCTGCTGCAGACCAAGCCTGTGTCCAACTTCCATAGAGCACAGTGTTTGTGTACAGTGCGACCTACCAGGGAGCTGAGGAGGACAGATGGTTCACTGGGAGTGTGCATCCCAGCTCTTAGGAACTGCCAAAAACCCTTCTGCCACCCTTAGCTGAGCCCTAGCAGCGCTGCCTGGAAGCCTATGATGGGCAGAGGTTCTGTGCGGGCACCCGGAGCAGCTGCCAGCAGCAGCCAGGCTGATGCAGAGCCATGTTCATGCATGGCTGCAGCATGAACAGGCTACAGGCATCTCCCAAACTGCTTTCACCCTGCCCCAGACTTGGTCATGCTCTAGGTCTACAAAATCCATGTGTGCTTTATACATGCTGCAGAATAATACCATTTGGAAGTGTTTCAGCTGAGTTTCTCACTCCAGATAGTACGCTAAGGGGAAAAGTAGAGGAATACAAGTACTTACTGAGCTACTGAGCTCCAGGTTTCCTCTGCCCCATTTTGCCTGCACTCTTCTCCATCTACTAGGTAGTTTGCAAACCTCTTCATTTTCCAAGATTTCCTTTTTTTTTTAACCCAGACCTAAAAGAAGGTTTCACTCCATTCCCCATTCCCACCAGTAAAGAGGCTCAAGGTTCACCACAGAGCTGCCTCAATAGGATTCCTTTTTTTTTTCCTCTGTAAGAAATATTAATTGCCAATAAATCCCCTTCCTCTAAGGTTCACGATGGGTAGACTGCATGCAATAATTTCACACTATTCCTTCTCTTCCCTCAGGGTTTGTCACTTCATAAAGTGACCTACAGCTACTGGAGTTTATGAGCTTTGAATATACAAAACACTGTTGATTTAACCAGTTGGGGTGTTTACTTTCAATAGCAACAGTTACTCACATAAGGCAGCAAAGAAAATGCTATAGAAATACTCATACTTGGCCTGAAGCAGTGTGTCAACCTATTAACAGGGGACATTATTTTTCTATTTTATTTGACTGTCTGCAAATCAAGATGTCATGGATGCATGGTGCCAAGAAATACAATGCATGCAGCAGTGCAAGAGAGACAGGGAGCTGCTGTCTCAGAGCTGCACCATGTCCAGCAGGTCTCAGCCTGGGAGGGAAGACGCCCTCGCTCTTCTTGCCTGCCCTGCAGGCCCACTGCTGCCCACAGCCCACCCAGGCTCACCTGCACCCACTGCAGTGCCTCAGGGTGCTGCTTGGGAGATAGGCCTTTATCGCCTTCCCTAAGCTAGCAGGTAGAGCAAAGGTTAAGACAGCCTAAGGACCTGGGCTGGCAGGCTGAACACTTCATAAGGGATACACAAGCCTGGAGGCTGGCTGGAAGGAAGCGTGTCAAGGCAGAGTGAAGGTGCTGCTTGCTTCCCCACCTGCCTGCAGCACCTGGGATTGTTCCTTTTCTATCAGAGAAGCTATTTGGTTTCTAGGAAGAAAAAAAAAAAAAAAAAGGTGTTTTGAGACAGCTGACCACCTTGAGAAGTCTGTTGTGCCTCCAAATCTCACCCAGGAGAGTGTTGCTCATAGCTCCTAGCAGCTTCAGTGACAACCTCTGTTGTCTTCACTACTGTGCTCCTTAGGTGATCCCAGTTCCATCTTTTCCCTCTGCACCTCCCAGCTCTCCCCATCAGTTCTCATCCTGCATGTATCTCTTGGGACAAGCAGTTAGAGCCCTGTCTGAGCATCATGTTTCCTTCCACCAACCTGGAGGGCTTCCAAATGCTGCCTTGTCCTGCCCAAAAGATGACTCGTTTTATGCGGATTCTTAACTCAAGCTAAATATCTCTTAACAGCCTCTAAGAGGAGCAGCCTCTGCAATCCCTCTCCTTGAATGTGCAGTAAGAGCAAGGGTTGGATTGTGTAATGTAGGCAAAGCAAAGACATGAATATGATCTGCCTCTCGGGAAGAATGGTCTTGTGAACTCTGCACAGAGCAGCAGAGGTCTGACCATCACTTTCAGAGTGGAGATACTCTACAGCCCCTGTGAATCAGAGCACTACTTCAATGCCCTCTTCTGCAGTGTGGCTGGTGGGCTCCATGCAGACATCTGTATAAACCGAGGCCAAAGAACAGCTGCTAGAGTGCAGCCTGCTCCACACCATCTTTCTGCCACCTGCAACACTGGATCCAGTGTTAGGTTTACCTGTTGTCCCCATAGCTGACCACTGTTTAGATCTTACCCTGGGTGATGACAAGGAGCAGGATTGAGGCTTCCCTGCAGCTCAGTGAAGACAAAGCTATACTGCTACCTCTAATTACCTCTAACTGCCATCACAAGCCATGTAAACAAACAAATGTGGTTACTTACAGCAGGTGATCATGACCTGCATTTCCAGTGCAGCAGTCTCCCCAGGCCAAATGCCCAGGTCCTTCTTTGGATCCCCCCCTATCCTCATCCTGCTTGGGGCAGACCCAGCTCACCCCAGCATGCTGGAAGCCTTCAAGTCATGGCTTACCACTTCTGACACCTCTTTCCAAACCCCAAAAGACTTTTCGCTCCAGCCACTGATTTCTGTTGTATTTGAAAAGAGCAGATAGAAATGGATGTCTGATGCTTAAAAAATCCCGAGCCCTGGAAGCAATAGCAGAGGCGTGATTTGTTGTGGGATTAATTCTTCCACCTCAGTGCAAACCTTAATGAGCCAAAGTAAATATTTCATTCCTCCTGTCACAGTGTTTATTTACCACGAGCTGCCTGCCTGTGGTTGAGGAGCAGAGCTCCTGTGCCCAGTGCTTATCCAATGCACTAATGCCCAGAGAGACTTTGATCCCATCCACCTCACATTGAAGCACCCTGAACTTGGTGGGATGAGAAGCAAAGGCTGGGGAGCTGCAGCATGGGAGCCAAGGGAAGGACCAAGGGTAGGAGTCATCTCAGGTAGACAATAGTGAGGCACCCTAGAGAGCAGTAATCTTCTCATCAAAGGGATGGGATGAATTACCTCCTGGTAGGAGTATGGGCCAGTGAGAATCAAGTAAATAAATCAAATTTCCAACCCTCATGATTAGATGGGAAACCTT